ATTTCTGGAGGTAGGACATTAGTGTACTTCAAGAACGGGTCCATAACAATACATTTACTGTATTGTCTAGTGATGATACAGAATTTTATTAAAAATCATGAAATTCATACCTTGATTAATCAAGAAGCATTCAAAAACAAATATAGAGACTTATAGATGTTTTGTGCTGGACATGGTTTCATTTTTAAAAAGGCAGCAGACTTTTTGTTCTTATATAAACTAGTAGGATTCTCTGAGATATAACTCAGCTCTCACATAAAGAAAATGACACCGTTTCAGAAAATGCTCAATAGCCTGTTATTTATACAATGGCTGAAGCTCTGTCCATAAGTACTTTTTCAGAGTGGGTGGTAAAACTATTTATAAGCGTTTTTTCCACTGAGGTTAATATAGTTCTAAGAGTTGAGTCATGTAAATAGATGTGTTCTTTTTGTTTTGTTTTGAGAGTAACATTGTTAATTTGTGTGAAGTAGATTGTAAGTAGTGATGTGCGGATCGATCCTAAAGTATCAATATTTCTGATACCAACGTTTCCTGCTCTAGGATCGATACTCATATTAAAGGATTGATATCTAAACTCAGTAATTTGGAGTGAGTGAGTGTTTTATCATAAGTATCTTACTGTTACCAGGATGGTTTAATTATAGGCTACTCGGTTGATAGGAACTACTTTTCCTTCCGCCTGTCAAAGTCATGCTTGCGCTACGGCTCTGTGACGGAGCTTCTTTGAAGTGAGCCGCTGCAGCCCTTTACATTTCCCGCGATTGCATACTGTTGACTGTAAAACGTCACGTTTGGCTATATTTTAGCTGTGAAGGTAATAATGACGCTGGATGTGATGTGTGTGCAAAGACAGTGAAATACTTTAGCAACACTGCAAACTTTGCTAAACATCTGAGATTAAGTCAAAATAATATGATGATGTTATGAAGCGGCAGTTCTGAGCAGGATATTTTCATTATAATTAAAGAATATGACAGTAGTATGATGTCTTTATGCATCTATTATTTTGAATTGGTAAGGCTACAGCCGACTCATTATAGTCATAAATACAGAAACAGATGCAGATGGAGGGTTGGGGGCAAGAGCGTAACTTTGTGTTGAAAACTATTGGGGACATAGAGACTCAGATTAGGGGTGTGACATACACTTAGCTCACGAAACATGAAGAAACACAATTGTGGATTCACAAGAAGAAGACAAGAAGATAATTGTACACAGGTTTGATAAAACCTTCAATGTGGAAATATATGAAGGGGGGTTTGGGGGTCCTCCCCCAGAATATTTTTAGCATGAAACAGTTCATTTCCTGCATTCTGGTAACATTTTCTGCCACCACATATAATCAGTGCTTGAAGTGGAAAATATAGGTGATGCCACATTTACGCTGTCATTCTTTGGGATCACTTAACAAAGTAATCTTTTTTTCAGTCCCTTTTCCTCAACAAATTAAAGTGCTGATTTGTTTGTGAGTCAAATTAATTAAATCAAACACTTATGAAACATTTGTTATATTGTTATTGAGGAAAATTATATTGCGATAATTATCATTATTGTTTTATTGCCCAGCCCTGCTGGTACTTCAGCAGGCTCACGGCTGAATGAAAGGCATGAGCTTTTACCTGCTCCGTCTCCGCCGACAGAGATTAGCAGACAGGCAAGAATGGGAACAGATGAGCGCCACATAGAAGTCCCGGTGTAGGTACCAGATGTGCTTGGGTGGTCAGATCTGCTCGGGGGCCTGCGCCTGCTGGTAACGTCACATAATGTGATTGGCTGTACGTTTGTATGATGACGTGGCAGATGGTAATTGGCTGTATGTCGTAGTGTTTACGGATACTAGTTTTCGGTGAATTAATCAGGCATGTGATTGGCAAAGGGCAAAAAAGCAGGAAAATACACCCCCCCACCCCGATAAAACTGGCCGCGGCTCTATTATAACATGGATGGTAAACCAGGACCCATGACAATAAGTTATTTGGTGGATGTGTTGCAGTGGGAATCAAAGACAAATGTCTAATCCACTGCGCCATCGCAACCTCTATAATAATTATTATTTTGTATTACTTTTTTACCAAACTTCAACCGCTAAATGTGCAACATGCAACATGAAATAATTGAGTCTATAACTAGGCAAAATAATATAACTACTAAATTTCAAATTAGTTCAGTAGAAGTTAATAGATTATTTTTAATGAATAATAGACAGCAGCAAAGGTTGTCGCCTGTTTAAGACCTGGTGGCCTAATTGTTAAAGAAACAGTTATATTATTCAGGAAACTCAGATCAAACAGCAGATCAGTCTCTGTCTGTTGATAAACTGTAGGAAAAGGTTTGACATTTCAACTCTGGCAGCGGGCGGGCTTGTGCGTGAGCCAAGAACGACCGTGACAGTTTCACAGGATCGCGCAAGTTACACAGAAGCCATTGCCATGGTTACCTCGCAGAGCGCTTGTTTGCCTGTCTGTTGATGAGGAGCGCAGAGCGACCCCGCTGATCCAAGCCGTCTGAAAAGGCCTTATATAAAACCCCGTTACAACCATTCACAAGAAATTTATTTATAACGTGCCAAAACCTTTAACATAAGGACGACTTAAAAAGCAACCCTTCATACAGCAAATTGTAGCCTATATAGCCTATGCGATTGATCAATTGACAACAAAGTAAACATTAGATAGCCTATAACAAGCAATAATCAAAACATACCCAATTTATCCGATCCTTATTGTCAACTCAGTGTTGGGCAAGTTACTCAGAAATAATATACTTATTACCTACTACCTACTAGCATATACTCCTTAAACAAGTAATATTAGCTACTGTACTTATTACTGGGTCATATAACGCCACTCTCTCCCAATGAGTTCAAGCATCACTGGCAGCAGCGGCCGGAGTTTCTTTCTGAGTTTCACGTTGCTGTGTTGCTTTAGCTGAGGCTTCAATTAGCCTAAATATAAATGTAGAATTGTTCGCGGTCAAAAACTTCTTTGCTGGTCGCACAAAGTTTACAACGGAGGCGCAGGTGTGGAATTGGCAGCTGAACGCAAACGAACATCCTTGTTAATACTTGGAAAGGAAGAAAACTTTACACACGTCAGCCTGTAGATGTCCTCAAATCCTTTCCATTTCACTCAACCAGCTCCTGTACCCCCCCTCCCTTCTTTTTATTATTACATATCTGCATGATTCACATGGGTCAGATTTTCAGGTCGGAAAATCCTAAATTACAGATTAATACGGAAAACTCACACCCCTTAATGTTACGACGCTAATGTTAGCTGCAGCTCCACTTAAGCAAACGTGGGTGCGTACGCCAAAGTAAATATGAAATAAAAGCAAAAATATTTAATAAAGATCCCGAGCAGATCTGATACCTACATTTATACCCGGGGCACTATGTAGTTTGTTCGAGTAGCTTAAGTTAGCTACCGTTAGCTAGGCATGATCGACAGGTAACATTCACGTTGTTACATTAATACACACCTATTGCCAGGGTGTGTTAAGTCCTGTTTAATAAATAGAGCTGCATTTCATTGTACAATCTGGATTTTGTAACATTTCAGTCCGAATCTGATGACAGTTGGATTGTTTGGTCACTGTCAATGGAATCTGCCACACCCACACAGTCCAGATAAAAAGCAGAGTAATGTGTTTTTGAGTGTTAAACAATAAAAAAATCATATCTTTAGGGATAATTTATTAACTGATGGTTGCATTTTTAGTTGTTGTTACTTCTGAAGCCACGTTTTCAGGGGCTTAGGAAGAAACTAAGAAACTCTGTGAGAAACAAACTTGTGGTGGATCTCTTTGTGCAAAATGAAAACCACAGTGCAAATTTGAGCAGGAACAGAAAGCTTTACCAACATCTACATAAAACCACAGGGGTTTGAGTTGGCCTGGATTATTGACAGGGCGGGTGAGGGTGGCCTGGAAGAAAATAAAACCAAATGACAGAATGGACTATTTAAATGTTATTGTTTTAGTTTGAAATTCAATTCTTGGTCATATTTTTAAAATTCATCATATCTACACAGAGATACTCAAGACAACTTCAAATCTGTTGGAAAACAGTGCATTGACTAGTTTAACAACTATGTCCCAAACATTCTCCAAATCAGTAGTGAAAAAACTTAAGTCAAAGTTTTGGTACTACAAATCAAAAACATTCAGAAGCTTATAAATGTCTGAATGACCCTCAAATATACTGTTAACCTGCTGTGTACAGTGAACAGCCAGTTCTTTAAGGTCTGCAAAAGAGGTTCTGCAAAGAAATGTGCTCACTATTCCGAGAGTGGTATCAGAGATCAGTAAAGATTAATTTAGTTACTCATCTAAGGTATTCCCCAACTCACTGTTTTAAAAGCAGGATAAAAAAAACTTTCATTTATGCTGCTTTCTATGTGTTTAGTGCTTTTTATTTTGGTATTTTATCTTTATTTTTGTCAGGATCCGTGGTTGGGTTTGCAGGATGGGGGACCCAAATGCAGGACACAAGGCTGGCAGGTTCAGTTCAAAGGTTTAATCTGTGAAGACCCTCTATCGTAGCCTGCAGGTCCTGCATTGGCTCTCCTCGTATTTAAGGAGAGACACGCAAAACTTCCTATGGATAGCCTAACAGATAAAACGGTCTTGTGTCTTAATAGGATACTACTATATGTTTATAAACATTGTTTGCGCTATGAGGGTTGGCTCTGGGGGTTTTAACGATTCATTCATGCACACTGTTTTAGGCTAATGCAAGCTATTAACACAGTATTTTAGATTATAAATGAAGAGAAAGAAAATAAAAACCACGATGTAGGCTAGTTACAAATATTAAATAGGCCTAAATAGTTAGACTTTGTGCATGCTATCTGCTCATTTAGCCTATTTCACATCCTTAAGAGCCACAGAAGCACGAGAAGAGTAGCCTAAATAATCACTCATGCATTTGTAAATATTTTGTTACTGAGTTTTAAAACAAGAACGAATAAAGTAAATAACCACTCACACATTTGAAACAGCTTGTTACTGAGAAAGTTTAATTGTCATTATTATTTACTATAAGACAGTTTAATCAAAGTTAAGAAAAAGCATACATAGACCCACACTGAATCACCCACAACCCATATTTCCCAGTCATTCCAACACAAGAGGAAGCAAGATTCTCTGCATTATATGCTTTAAAATCTTGATATTTCTCCCTGCATTTTGATGAGGCACAAGGATTATAATACACTATACTTAACTTAATTTAGTTGTATATAGATAACTGTAGGTAATATCATGAATTTCATAGGGTCCTTGTTTGTGATGCCCGATTTAAGCGCGTTCATGAGAGCTAACCTTTGTTTACTACTCTTGCTTGCACAGTCATCGTCTGATTCTAGCAATATTTTTAGATGGTAGTAAGCAGATAAAGATTATGTGACTGATGTGACTGTTGACATTTAAATCTGAGTCCGAGATAGGTTCAAGATTCTGAGGCTGCTCAAAACTGTTTTAAGGAAGCTAGTGGGTAAAACATCAAGGCAATAGGTGGATGAATTAAGATTGAAGATAAAAGTGTTTTATTGCTAATGGGATTAAATTTTGTCATCCATACCAAGTTATTTCTGGGGTGATGATGCTTTTTTTTACTCCTTTGAATTTTCCAACATGCAGAAGACGACCAGCCAGATAGGAAGGGGTTGCGTTTGAGCAGCGGATAAGACACATGCCTTTGGTGTAGGAGATCAAGGTTTAATTCTGCAACACATCCGCCAATGCAGCCCTAAGCAACCCACTTCCCTAGTTGCTCCAGAGGTGTGTGACATATAACTGTAAGTCGCTTTGGATAAAACTGTAATGTTCACTTCTGACCTTATTAAAAGGGCATGTAGAAATGAGGTCTGTCTTTTTTTCTAGGGGTGGTAGCGTGTGGTTAGCTATGGCTAGATCAAAGATCACAAAGAACACAAATGAGCGGAAATAAGTGTAAAAACTAGAAGAGATTGTAAAATCAATTTGCCGTGTCCCTTCTATGCTAATACAAGGACTTAACAGATAAAGCCCTGCAGACAAGCTCACAAGCTCACTCATAGGTTACATCTGTTATTCTGCCATTTGATCAAACTTTACATTAAAATGAAAAAGTTTAATACATGGTAAAACTATAATTGTGGAAATAATGCCAGTGTGTTTACAAAAACATTCTTTTTTTTCTCTCAAAATCTCACAAGCAGATTTCAGAAAAGTTACTCAACGGAAATTATAACTTTAATTTATTGACAAATAAAACTGTGCTGCAGAAACAATTGCTAAGACATGGTTCTCGCAGACAGGAAAAGTCTGACATTAATCTACTGGAAATAAAGGCATTGGTAAGCTTTTCTTGGTCTTGCTTGCACAGTCATCCTCTGATTCTAGCAATATTTTTAGATGGTAGTAAGCAGATAAAGATGATGCGACTGTTGACATTTAAATCTGAGTCCGAGATAGGTTCAAGATTCTGGCTTGACTCTTAGTTCTTTGATTAGGCTTCTCAAAACTGTTTTAAGGAAGCTAGTGGGTAAAAAGTCGTTGTAGTTGAGCAGGAGTTCCTTTTAAGACTTTTGTAACACCAATAAAAATGTGAATCTGTTTTGCTTGAGGATATTACTAAAAATGTATAAAAAGTTACAAATAGTGCCATGAGCATGAAGTAGAGAAACACAAGGATCACCAAGCCACAGCAGCAAGCTACTCATTTAACACTTTTGAAATTTAACCTCTGTAATTGTAATGGTAATTGGTATTGTAGTGTCTGTACATTTGATTTGCCTGTACAGCACTGACAATCAGTATAATAATGCAAATGGAGATCGCGATGGAAGCCAGGACAGTGGCCCAGATGTTGAGACAGCGGGCAGTTGAGCCGTAGTGTCGGGCACCCTCCAGATCTCCAACCACCTTCCGGTCCCTGGCCTGAAGGACCAAAGTATATTGATTTTAAAAGTGGATTCATAGCATTGTTTTACCTCCATTCATTGCTCATTCATGATCGACCTCAAGGGAACCTAAACTTCTAATGTTCAGCATAGGCTCAATCTCATGATCTCCTGCAAACGCTTTAGATTCTTGTATTTCTATGCTGAAAATGTGATAAATTTATAATTTTATTATATTTATTTACATATTGTTGGGGTGTTTTTATAATTGTTCTACCTCTGATTCTTCATATTGAAGAATGTCCAACAGAGTTCCTAACACATTTAAAGTATCTGTTGTTGTCGTTGTGCTTTTATCAAATTTATTCATGTACATTTTGGCATTCAATTGTTTTATTAAAATGTCTCAGTCTTCCTAAAGAAGTTGGCAAACCCTTCGTTTTTTTCCACTAAGAACTGTTTTTGCTAAAATTCTCTTTTTTTACTATTCTTTAATAATAAATAGAAATTGGATATTGAGAACTGTCACTCACTCACCTTGATAGAAAAGATGAGAGCTGCCAGTCCGAGGCAGAACGGGTTTGAGTACAAAAAGCAGCAGAGAGACCAGATGATGTGGTCCTTGGGGGGCTCAGTGGTCATGTTCACAGTGGTGTACTGAACCACTGTAGGTCCTCCAGGCTGTCCAGGCTGGACAAACTGCCCATCATACCTTCCCTGTAACGGAACAGCATCAGCCGGGTGACCTATAGGATTCATCGTTGTCAGCTTAAAGTAGTTTAGAGTGTAGGTTGCAAGAAAGTGTGCAAGAACTGTCACTGTGTTGACTTCCTTTTAAAGCTCTTGGAGGTTAGCACCAGCCTTTTATTCCACCAAGAGCCAATGAGGTAAAACCAAGCTAACCACACTTGACTTTTTGAAGTATCAATCATTTCCATAATATCTATCCTATATGTAATCAAGTTGTGATCAATGAAGACATTTTTTACAATCATTGATTGTAGAAACAAATTTTAACTGTATTTTACAGTATTGCAACATGTAGGTTTTGTCTAATCAAATGCAACAAATACTATAACAATAATTGTGGATGGTAATCATGTAGTTTATTTTACAGTATTGTACATACTCTAATCATTGAAGTGCACCTTTGTGGCTCTGTTTGTTAGAGCATAAAGCTACTAGTTTAAATCCCACTGAGTTCACATACAGTAAAAATCTCACACCTTAGGTTGGTGATTCTAAAGTTTTGAATCTGAACATATCAGGCAAATGAAACAACAATACAAAATGTACAGTAAATTAAGCAATTACACACAATTAACAATAACAATGAGCATAGTGATAGTAAAAGGTATTTTAACAATAGAGAAGAAAATCTTAACAAAAATTATTCATGTACTTGTATAAAGATTATGAATTTCAGTGTGAAACTTGCCTTACATGTTTTTGTTGTACTCAAGTTAATGTCCCACATTAGGAATTAAAGTCTTGCTATCAGTTCCTCTATGTACACAATGAATATCTCCCCTCATTATTATACTGTTATTTCCTGTTAGTATAGAATAGTAAAATGTGTTGATATTTTTGTATTCTTACTGCTAAAACAGTATACTATCAAGTATAGTGTATAGAATTAGCATACTTGGGAGGAAGCCTTAGTCTTGTTTTACTAAAGGTGATTGGGAAACATTTGGCTCAAAGAGAGAAACAGGAAACCCACTAAACCCACTAATGTCAGATTAAATCTGTTTTGCTGCTGTTTCATCAAACCTGCACATTACAATAAAATGGTTTTAGTCGATTCCCTGAATTACATTTCAGTTCCACTCCACATGCTGTGTCAAAAGATCCATGAAGATGCAACCCGAAGATGCAAACCTTTCACCTCATCAGTCACAGTGGGCGTCCAGCTCATTTTAAGCCAGGCTTGGAAACAATTGGTATCATGCTTTCCAATGATATCAATAGGCCTGTGGCTTGTACTACACAGGGAGTTCAACCTAACCAGAGGTAACTCAGGGTTATCAATCAAACTCTGAGAGCCTAAACTGGTGTTAAACGGTAGGCTATTACGAGAATGTTGGTGAGTTGAGACGGTGTTAACCCTTAATTGGAGTTGGTGCGCGTTCGCATAAAAGGTGCGTGTTCGGCCGTGCAGGCAGAGTTTTTCCGCAACGGCGCATGCTCCGTATTTCTCCAGAAGAAAGCACGTTCATTGTGTCAGGACATGATGAATGTAAAGAGTTAACGGCTAAATCTAATATTGTAGCGGCCGACAAAGTCAGGTAGGCTTGTTGGCATCGCATTGAGTAAATTTGTAGCCTAATTATTTTCCCAGTGTTGTTAGTGTAGTTCAAATCTCTATTATGTATTTTATGGGCTCTTATTTTATGTGTAATATGATTAAAAAGTAAAGGTACAACTGCACATAAGGTCCATTGTAATAAAAAAAAAAAAGGAGCCAGCGACAATAATCCAACACAAAATTTAATTAAAGTAAAGTAAAGTAAAAGACTTGAATATTCTCTGACATTGCAGTCATACATTTATGAGAGAAACTTCACTTTGCAAGGCTGCAACATCACACAAACCTCTGCAGTGTATGAATCCAGTTAGATTTAGCAATCGGATTTTGCAGTGAGGTAACACTCGTGCGGTTTAGCCTACAGTCACTATCATGCACCTTAGAGACTTTGCCGTGGATTGGGCGTATTTAGAAGAAAATACCAGTGATTTTTGATTTTTTTTAGACCTTAATTTCAGAGAATTACCGATTTTTGTTATTGTAAATTTGACACTTTCATCTAGGATTTTTCTTTCTCGGTTTAGGCTCTGTAGTTTTTGAACACATGTGAATACACTTAAGATAATTCAATTATAGCCTACAGATGGGCTACATCTAAGAAACTATCCCTTTATTTAATTAAGATCTCCTGTCTAAAATCACCAAGGCCGCTGTATGAACGTAATGCTGTGTTAAGAATAACAGCGCAGTGTAAAAATTCAGGACAAACGAACAAAACCTGCTTGCAGCAGTGTAGAGGTGCACTACACTTACTCTATCAATTTTCACCATTTCATTTTCATTTGTTATCAATAATGAGGCTGTTTTAAGCTAGTTCTTGTCAGTTTTACCAAAAACCTCACCAACATCACTGATTAGTTGTTAATATTCCATTATATTATGAGTTATAATTTTTGAAACCTTAACACTACATTATAAATCTTGCAACTTTTCACTTAATATATAAATCATGCAATACATCCATATTTGAAGCTACTAAGAGAGGCACATAAATGCAAGTAGGAAAAACTGTTTTTGTCCTGGGACTGAAAGGGTTAAAAGATAGCTGGAACAGATGAAATGGAGACAAATAAAAGCTGCTGATAAGATTTCAAATGAATTTCAAATGAATTAATACAGGCACTAAATACAGAATAGTTTAAAAACACACAACCATAGCAGGTTACATGGGTGATTCATATTGGACAGTGATACATTTTATTGTTTGCATCCTGTTTGGGATCTTCAGGGTCTCTTCCCAGGATGAAAGTGGCTAACAACACATAATTAGGCTCCTCTCAAAGTTAATACCATTTTAGGTCAGAACTTGTTAGTCAGTGTAGATTTACCACCAATTTACATCATCACAACAACCTAGTACACACACACACACACACACACACACACACACAGAGGCATTTTTGGAATTGATTAACTCATTGTACTTGGCAGCAGATAGAGTCAAATGATTTTAATGCAATCTAATACATTTAAATTATTTTAAAGGCTTTATGTGGTAAAAGTCAAGCAATCAAATTAGCTATGTTTCTGGTATAACCAGTCAACAGTCAAAATTAAACACTGTGGTGGTTTTAAATTGGAAAAAAACTAATCCTGGTGAATATTTCCAAAACAGCTGTTCAATCAAGACACATTTACCTCACAGTGTTTTATCAGACATCAAGAGCCTCCTGAATATTGCTAGCTATGAGAAATTTGAGAAAATCGTCTGCATTGACTGAATTAAAAATGAACCAACCCCATCCCACATTCTACATGGTTAGTATTTCAGTCTTGTCACCGATGGTAATTGGAAAGTTAAGTCAAATTTTGTTACTGGTAGTAGCAGTTGGTTATCAGTATGTATCAGTATCTGCTCTTAGATAAATGAAGGGGCTCCCCCAGTGGAAATTTAAGGCATCACATCTTAGAGGACGCAGCGACAGCCGAGACTCCTGGACGGCTGTAAACATGGGTAGTTGTGTTCTGAGAAAGTGGGAGAGAGAGAGAGAAATAGTATTAGCTGAAGTAACCAATAAACTGGTGTTATTATAAAATAACAAAGAAACCCTGGACAAACTGGTCCTGAGCATTGTGCCAGGAAAATTCTGACATTTCTGTATTCTACACCCCTCATGCTCTCTCCATGAGGCAAGAGATAACTGAATTTTCCTCCAGGTATCAATGAAGTCTTATCTTATCCATTTCAAATGGCTCCCTTTTAAAAAAAAACAGTGGTATAACTTCACTTTGTTTATGCTTAATATTATTCAAGAAAATGTTTAATTTCCATATTTACTAACCACAGATTGGAGTGCTTTCAAAAATGGAAGATAATTATGAAACCAGTATTTTGACAGTCTAGAAATACAGGTTTCTTTGAATGTTATGGATAGTCAAATAAGTTGAGATCCCAAAGCTCTTGCTATTACATTGCAAAGAAGAAAACTAGAGCCTTTCTCCCTTTAGTAACAACAGTGAGTGAGAAAAAGGAAGTGCAACGTACTTCCATCTGCAAAACACAGAGCTTAACAATGCTATAAGAAGCAATATATTGAATAATGATTAAAAGAAAGATATTTGGTATAAACATGATATGATGATGATTGAAAATCAGGATCTCTTACTGATACTGAAGATGAATAAATTGAATTGATCTTCTGATTGTAAAATTAATTATGAGATGGGCCTAACGGACTATGAGTCAATGGGAGAGAAGGGTCAGCAAGGAGAAATGAAAGGGCCAAATAAGGACATCTTTAGCCCAACTAAATTTAGGGATGACCAATCTATGTGACAGTAGTCACGTGGACAGGAAACGGGTGGTGGCAAAGTGCTGCTTTGAGCTAAATACACCATCATGTTTTGAAAGAGAGCAATAGAAGAAACACAGCATCCTAACATATTTACAATGAAAATGCTAACACATTAACGTTTAGCAGGTAACGTTGCTATTTTAGCAATCTCGGAGTAGTGTGTTGGCATGCTACCATTTGTAAAGGAGAGCCATTAGTTAGAGTATTTGGTCATAAATCACAGTATTAGAAAGTAAGGGAATCTCCAACATTTTCACAGACTCATTTTCTGGGGAATACGAATGTTTCTACCAAATTTCGTGGCAATCCATCCAATAGGTAATGAGTAACAAGTTTTATGGCAACTCTGGACCACAGAGGTGGTTGGACGGACAGACTGACCACAGTGATATCCCTAAGAGAAACAGTATACCAACTTAACACTAGATAGAGACTTTTCTTTTTTTACCTTCTGGGCCTCCACATTGTACTTGTCAAGAAGAGCCTGAACTCGGTTTCCATAGTCTGGATGGACAGCCTTCAAATTCTCGACCTGCATGATGAACCAGACAATGACACACATATTTTCTCAATCTTTTTTAAATTTCTAATGAGAGATCTCTGAATTTCTTTTATATTCTATGGTCTTCTTGCTTGGGCTTCTCTATTCACGTCTTCGTGCAACAATCTGTATTTAGCAACATTTCAATCCGAATCTGATGACAGTTGGATTGTTTGGTCACTGTCTATCAAATCT